TATTTTTTTTTAATGTGAATTTTTGCTCCGGACGCACAGGCCCAGCGGCCATGGCTCACCGGCCCAGCCGCTCCGCGGCATGTGGGATCTTCCCGGACCGGGGCACAAACTCGTGTGCCCTGCATCGGCAGGTGGACTCTCAACCACTGCGCCACCAGGGAAGCCCTATATATTTTATCATATCTCTCTATTCTATAAATCAAAGGGAAAGCACAAGTGAAATAAATTTTCCTTCTAGAGACTACATCAGCTTTCCAGTCAAGGTCATGACTCTTCTCAGGATGACCCATCACTGGCTAGATAAGGCAGTGGTGTGAGAGTCCAGCCATTTCCGCTCAATGTGGTGTCACTATGGGACAATCACTGTGCAAGAGCTGCCCATGGGGCTGGCACGGGGCAATGTCAGGTTGGCATAGCATTCTGATGGTTCCCCCTCCCCAATCTTGCTTCCTTTATTTCCCTTCCCCAGGTGTTACTCCCCCCAGACCTTCTGTATTCCTAATTCCTTCTCAACATTTGCTTCCCAATCTGCAAAATTTTGCTTTTTCATCCACTTAAAATGTCCTCTCTTTCCCTCCATGCAATTAAATCTTTCAGGCTGACTTTAATTCAATGCCTTTCACAAGTCTATTCAGTCTTCTGCAGCCCATGTGGACAATCTTGACAGTCTCAGCTAACGTTGGACTTATAAGTGACAGCTATTTAACTAATTCTCGCATTGTACTATAACTGCCTTATATATGTTGGTTGTAGTTTCTCAGCGCCTTGAAGGCATCTACCATAGGTGGCAGACGTTGTTGGTGCCCTGCCCAGTTCCCCCTCAGTTTCTCAGATTCTGTTGGTATAAGTGGTGCCCCTTTGGTACACTTTCAAACACCGGCACCCACAGATCTTCAGGGCACTGCCCTCAAACTGTTGGGACCACTTTGTCGATAAGTGCAGAGAGTCAGAAGTGCCTGGATGTTCATTTTTATTGCCTTACCTTCTCCTCTTCCCTCCCCCACTTACCCTCCTGAAGCCATTAACTAACAGTCATTAGTCACCCAATGACTGTTGGGTGAAAGCCCAGCAAATTTCCTAGGTTTAGACATCTCTGAGGCGTAAGTTATAATTCAGCATTCCTTTACATAATCATGTTAAAGCCTACTCTCTTGTGAGTCTTATGCCTCAAATCGCTTCTTTTTCCTCTTTCTCTCCTGCTTCCACTTTGATCTACCCTGGGAGCACTTCTTTTAAAATTAATTGTACGCACATATTCATCCCAGTGTCTGCTGCTGGGAAATTCAAACTAAGATACCATATCATATATTTTCCGTGTACTACATGTAGCGCCTAATGTTATGTGGGTTATCTTAGTATAAACCACAAGCAATTGCTGCTATTCAACTGTTTATGGCCAGTGAAGACGGTAGTGATCTAATAGTTGTGATCTAACAATTGTTGTTCAATATAGAATGAATGATCAAGAGGTAATTAATTACTTAACTTGGAGAAAAAGATTAGGCTAGATTTAGCAATTGTCTTTGTGAATTAAAAAATTCATACAATAATAATAATAACATATAGGCATATACACAAATACAAAATAAAATTCATGATAAGAAACCATTTTATATCCACTTATAATGGGACAAAGACAGGAAATAGGCTTAAATCAAGAAGATTTCTGGTGACTATCTGGAAAAACAAATATACTCTTGGATCACTGGAAGGCTTTTAATAACAAGAAAATTGTTGCTGGAGTCTGCAATTTTAGTTAAAAAGATCCATTACATCAATGGCTTAATGTTATATAAACACAACAGCCAGATCATATCTATACTTTTTATTTTGTTATATAGTGTTGTGAAAATTTATAGCTACAACAATTTTATAAGTTTTTTTCACTGAAGGTTCTTATACAAGAGAGGCAACAATATTTTTTGTATAATTTAGTTATCATCCTACCTAGATGTAGATACTGAATCTAATGGCCTCTGCAGGCTTTTTCCAGTCTTACAATGTGAGGATGTTTCAAAAATTAATGAGGGCATACTTATTCAACATCATCCTCTATTTTATTTTCACACTAAAGTAGGAAGCTTCAGTTCCCTGGCAGTTTAGTAATTAGACATTATTACAGCTGTGTTTTGAGATTGCTTTCTGGTAAGGGAATGGAAAATTTTCTGTTCCTAATATAAAAATATTTGACAGCCTCACTAAAAATACCTTTTGCATCAAAGGGAAAATTATTCATACAAAGTGTTTAATCTTGGACAATTAAATTTGTGAACTAATTGGTATTTAGTTAATTCATTAAACAAATATTGATTGAGAACCTTACTGGGTAAAAAAAGTATTAGACAAAGCAAAATAGGGAGGCAAAGGTTTATAAGGTTAAGTTTAAGGGCCTTTAAACAAGTAGACGTGTTTATAAATAATTACCATAAAAGACAGTATGGAAACAAGACTAGGACCAACTTATCCACTGGAAAATATTAATGTAGAATAATACATCAGGTGAATATATTTCTCATACCTTTTAGAAATTTCCCTTGATTACTTGTGCTCTTTAAGGAATAGATGTGTTTTGATAGATTCAAGCTGAAAACATCTCAAAATCAACTTTGCAGGTTACCACTGAGATTAATGAGGTTGAATAGTTTTGGAGAGAAACCACAATGCATATTCTTTAAAGAATCCTTTTATTTACTTGCTATTGTCCAAATGGCTTCATCTTTCTTTCCCCTTGATAATATATTCTCTCATTTCTTTTTTCTCTCTGTAGATATCTTCCATGAGCAAAAGGGCTATTGAATTCAAAGAAACCTGTGTTAGCGCAAGATTCATTGACTTCAGAAAGTAGCATAAATCTGACGTTATCTTCTTAAATTCTATTTTTTTTAAAATTTTGGGCCCAAACAGGTGCAATACCTGCAGGAATAATGTGATGTGAAACCAATGAACTTTCACAAGAAGCCTTGCTACTATGGTACTGGGCTTGAAGATACTGTATTATTTGCCAGGATAAACTACAACCCGGAGAAAACCAGATTTCATAGGAATTACCTTCACTCATGCAACTAAACAAGGCTAGGAAAAAATATGCATTTCTTATAATAAATTCATAATCAATAATTTCAAATGGGTCCTTAAGATTACCAGTAATCATGTTCCCTAGTGCAGCCACTCCCCCACTGTCCTAGTTGACAATTTCCCAACTTATTTTTCCTTCAAACCTCCAACACATCCTTCCTCAATCCTTGCCCTCACTTTGATGAGTTTCTTCCTCTTTCACTGAAATAAAAAATAAAATCAATTAGAAGATAATTTCCACAAGCTCATGCCATCCAATTCCCCACCTCCCTGCATTTAGGACCTGACACTCTACGTTCTTTCCTGTTAATATGAATGAATGTATGAATCATCTGTGCTTCTTGGTCAGGCCAGCCGTCCTTTGTCTAGCGAAGTCCAACCCTCTCTTCTACTCAGGGACATGATTTACTTATCATCTTCTTGCATCACCAAGTTTTCCCTATCCACTGCATTAGCAAAAAATGTATTGTTATGTCTCCCATCTTTAAAAGAATAATGATTGTCTTTTCTCCGCTTCCTCTTTCAGCTCCCACACCATTCATTTCTCTCCAAATGTTTACAGCATAACTCTTTGAAGGAATTGTCTATATATAACTTCTGCATTCTCATCTCCCTGGCCTCGAAATGATTGTGTGTCCATTTTGTGTTGTGAAGAATATTTCCATATGGTTTCATTTGTTTAAAACTTAGCTTTTTATATAGTTGGTCTTTCTAAAATCTTCAGAAAAATACATTCCACATGGTTCTGTATTTCATGAAATGCTAATTATTTTAAAATTTCCTCTAAATAATAAAAAGTGCTAACACTGGCCCAATGTGAATAGATTGTGCAAGGGTTTTTTTTTCTTTTTTAAATGATAAGTTAATTAAATATGCAGAGCTAGAGATTTTATTTTAAAAATGTGTGTATGTGATTTTACTCCCATCTCTTGGACTATAATTTTGTAATAGGGAATTGTTCTTCGGTTTGGGGTTCTGATTTCTCTTCTAGAGGAAGTTTCATTCAGTTTTCTCTCTCCCTGTATTTATGTGCTTGTGTGTGTATGATGCGTGTGAAGACAGGACCACACACAAGCACTAAATCACTGTCAAGGATTCTTGGTGGGTTTAATATCTGACTACAAAGCAAGATGCCGGCGCCTGAGTAAACTTTTCAACAAATGCAGCTGAGAGGATAATGTCCCCTGGGTCTGAGCAGGGTGCTCAAATTTCCAAGATTTCCCCAAACCTGCTCCGCTGGGAGTCCCAGGAAACATCACGTGCAGCTTCCTGTCCGGGTATCCTTACAGCGCCTGGAGGTGACCACTTTTTGAATGGGCATCCAGCCTCATGCACATAACGAAATATTTTAATGTTAAGAGAAAATGTTAACATGCTTAGAAGAGATCAACGTCACCGATGCCCTCATGATTTAGCAGTTTCATACTCAAGGGTGAAACTAGTCCGCATCCTCAGATACTGTGTCCAGTAAGACAAGACCACAAGTACACGGGCCCCGCTCGCCTGTCCGCGGTGGCCGTACGTGTGCCCGTCCCGAGTGCGCGAGGAGCCCTCGGTGAGCACACCAGGGAGCACAGCAGGAGCTAGCTGGTAGGGGAAGAGCCCAGCTGCTGCTGCTGGGAGGCTGGGCCGGTGGCGGCGGCCGGAGACAAGGAACCTGATGGCACCGACCTTCCCGCTCCCCTCTGTCGTCTCCTCCCTTCAGCCCGGGGTGCCTCCAGCATCCCAACCCCTGCGGCAAAGCCAACTCTGATTTAAAAAAAAAAAAAAGGCAGAAAGAAAAAAGCCCTCCACCCCACCCCCGCCCTCGCCCTCGCAGGCCCAGCAGCCCGGGTGGAGCGCGCCGCCGGAGCCGCGGGAGGTGAGGGGCCGCGTCCCCGCTGTGGGTGCGCGCCCCGCCCGCCGCCGCCGCCGCCGCCGCCGCCGCCGCCGCCGCCGCCGCCGCCGCCGCCGCCGCACCATGACCGCTCTGAGCGCCGGGGTTACAGGTTGGTCACGGCCGCCGGAGGCCCGGGGGGGCGCGCCGGTCGCTCTGGTCCCGGCCGGGCCCAGGCGGGCCGGGGGCGGGGGGCGAGGGCCGGGCGCGGAGAGCGGAGCGAGCGCCCCCCAGGCTGCGCGGGGAACGGGCGCGGGCGGCCAAGAAGCGCTCCCCTGCCCCCGCCGCGGGGTGCGCCTTCCCCGGCCTCGGATGCGCGCTGGATGCCCCGGGCCGCCAGACCTCGGTCTGCCCCGCCGGCACCCGGGGGCCAGGTGCCTGGGGGTGAGGTGGACGCGCAGCGCTCCCCGGGGCCATCGCGCAGGTGTGAGGGCCGCCTGCCTCGGCAGGTTTCCGGGCCGGCCTTGCCCACCCCGCCGCCAGGCTCCTGGGCGTCGCTCTGCGCTTCACATCCGTCCTTTTATGAATTGGCCTGTTTGAGTGGCTGTCATTAGGGTGGCCACACGGCGAGCAAAGCAGGGTCCTGCCAGAGCCACACCGTTTTGTCATTGAGCCCTTAAGAGACCGGTGTGGGTCTCCTGGCTGGAAACTCAAGGCGGGCCCAGAGCCCTGAGCAGGGCTGTGTCTCTCAGACTCAGATTTTCCTCTTTCAGGGCAGCGTGATAACTCTAAACGCAGGTCCTGATAAATGCTTGAAATATCATAGGGTAAATCTTTCAATTTTAGGCATAATTGTTCAGGGAATATCCGATCAAGGATGCGTGTTCAGACACACTCAGGTTCAGGCCTCGGAAGGATGTGTGTTTAATCTCATGTTTGTACAGTCATCAGCTAGGCCTGGATTGCCGTCGCGGTGAGAGTTTGTGTACGAGGAGGTCCGGGTTGGTGAAGACCTTTAATAGGGATCAGAAAGTAACAGGTGGCTATTTTTTTAAAAAAATTATGATTCATATTTTCATAGCTACAACTGTGACTTGAAATTAAATAGGAGAGGAGAGGTTGGCCTATGGCAGTTATCCGCAAGGCAGATATAGAGCAGGAATGGTGTTTTTTTTTTTTTAACATTCAAAGATTAAGTTTCAACAGTTCTAAATAAAAATCATGACTTCTCAGTCCTCTGCAACAACAGCAAAAATGTATTTCCTAATCGGTGGGCTTTCGTTCTGTGGGCCTTTGATGTTGGATTTTCCATTCATCTCTAGTATATTTGATCTGGCTGTTGCTAAAACCAGAGTGAAGGAAAAGTCAAGTTTAAGAGAAAAATGAAAAAGTGAACAGACTGGTTGGGCCCACTTGGAGTTCATAGAAGATGTGACATTTTGGCAGAGTAGATGGTAAGCATACTAGGAGCTCTGCAAAAGTTGAAGACAAGCCGTGTGAAATGGTGGTAAACTTTAGCTATGACATAGTCAAAAGAGGAAAAATATTACACTTGTAAAAGAAAAAATATCGACTTGAAATAGTAGCATTTGCTTGCGGTTTAGAGAATTGAAGTTTTGGGTACCATTTTTTTCTTCTTCTTTGGGTATGGCATTTCTTTGAAATGAGTTCCATTTGCTTCTGTTCTCTTTCTTGCATCCATTGTGAGTGTGTATATGTGTGTGTACACTTGGGCAGGCATGTACATATTTGTTTCATCCTTAATGATGCTGTGATAATTTTAGAATTTTCATAGCTATGTGAATATATCCCAGGGGAAGAGTCACAAGTTTGTGAAGAAAAAAGAAAAACACATCTCCTCATAACATTGTATCCCAATGTAAACCAGGCGCTGGGCTAGGAGCTGGAGGTTCAATGAGGAAAAGAGATAGACCAGGACTTATGAATCTGTCAGGAAAGACAAATATGCAATCAAGTGGAGAGACAATGAGATAGCCTATTTTCTAGTTTTGATTTGGAAACTATGACCTTCAGTCTAAAGAAATTATAAATTGCCCCCCCCAGTATCAACATTTTGGAGGTTGTCATGTTATATGATTCTTACCTGTCTCAAGGACTTGTGCAAGAAGTTTTTACACCTTCAAAACTCGTTGTGCACAAACTTTTAACATTTTAAAATTAATCCTTTCAATTTAAAAATAATTAGATATGAAAGAAATGACAGAAATGATTGTGAAAAGAGAATAAACAACCATAGTCCCGATAACCTAATACAAAAGATTGTACTATCTGTGTATTTTTAAGACTCTATGACTTTTGTGTAGCTGTGGTCATGTGTTGTACATTTTTTTATGCTGTTTTTTCCATTTATTATTTGTCATAAGTATTTTTCATGTTTCTATACAGTTTTCTTCCTTAAAAAATTATAAATATAAGACTATGCCCTATGAATATAGGCTCACTTAACATGGCTATAACTCTATCATGGGATATTTGCTGTTTCCAGCTTTTCATCATCATAAATAATGTCCTGATAGATAGTTTGAGTATAGGGATTTATTTCTATTGGAAGTTATTATTTTTCATGATAAATTCCAAACAGTGATATTCCTGGAAAAAATGGATTATCTAAATTTTTAAGTAGAAATATATATAAATTTATGGAAATATATATAATATATATTATAGGTTACAGATATGTACATAGCTCCAAGTTGGCTTTCTAAAGGTTATAATTCTGAATAAGATGATTTATATGCTTTCTGAGGTAAATCTGCCTTTTTAGTATTTGTGGACCATCTTCCCTCTTTTACAGGAATAATAGAAGATAAAATATCTTGGATTTATGACCTTTGCACTGTATAAAGACTTGACTTTTAACAAATTCATCTGAAATCCAGCTGATAAAATATACCTCTTAGAGTAAAATCAAAGTAGGAATGCTATAAAAGTTGTAAAGCTGAATAAAAAGGTCTTTTAGGAGAAAGTGATTTTTGAGCTCAGGTGTCTAATTCTGCTTTTTGCTTTCCTACTCAGACTTCAAATAAATGATCAAAGGAACTTATATAGTGAGAAATCTGTGCCCTAAAGGTACAGAGAGAAGAAGACCGTTTGTTCCTAGGCTGTCAACGCTAAGGCATTTCTTGTAGATTCAGTACTGATGGAACTGGGCTCATGAAACTGATGGGTGAAACTAAGGTTCAGGTCACAATTCGCTTTCTCAGAGATTTGTACAAAAAATAAGTAACAGAGCTTCTGCAGAAGCCCTTAATGTGAAGGGGTGAAGGTTAAAAGTGGAGCATTCTGTTGGTAAGATGGAATTCATTGACTTCTGAGGGAGTTTCTCCATGAGACCCCAGGGCAAGGACAGCCACACCAAACAGAATGTGTTCAGATGATAGGGACTGACCCTATGAGTCCAGAGGTTGGGGCAGGAGATGGGGTTCCGGGGAGGGAGTCCGGGAGAATTAGAAGTCAGAACACTGCAGCCAAGGGAATCATTTATGCAGAGATCAAGAGTGAGACTTATCTCCAGTTATGTAAAGGAAGGAGATGAAAAGAGGACTTTGTTTGGGGCAAGGATGCTGTATGTGGAAGACAGCCAACACAGACACACAAATCAGTGCTCTTCCTGATGGGGAGAACAGAGCAAATGGAACACAGGCCTTGTTCTAAGGGAAATGTAATAATTATTTTGTTTTAGATGGAAAAATATTCAGATGAAGATGGGTTATCATGGACAGGAAAAATTAATTAAAAGTAGCCCACATGTAGATCTAGCCTGGTGAACACTTTGAATTTGAAAAATAAAAAAAGGAAAATATTCCATCAGTATTTTTATCAAGTTGAAAAAAACTATTCACAAGGGAAAATTTAGACAAGCTTCATTCTCCTCCTCCAAAATTAAAGAATCAGTAAAATAATACACTGAAAATGTGTAATTCTGAAAAATAGCAGAAGACTGTTCTCTTACGATACTAGTATGGCTCAAAATGAAATATAAAAAAGATGAAGAAATACATATTAGGCGCCTGCTACCAAAAGAAATAAAAGGTGAGGTAGAAGTATGTAAAAACAGAATAGTTCAAAAAAGAATTAAATGAGAAAAAAAGCACCTTATAATAATAAAAGTTGCTATCTTTAATAAAGTTATAATTACAAGCTTTCTATATATAATACATATACTAATTATCCTAGAATTATAGTGTAGATAGCCAAAAGTATTCTTGTGTGTATTCATTTTGGGCAACATGGTCCTTAGATGTAGTATTTCCTCAAAAGGTCTATGACCTACGATGGGATAAGGAAGCAGCATTTCAGCTTAGGAAGTAAAGAAAACAACAGAAAAGAACTAGAGAGGTGAAGAAAGAGGAGAATGTTTAAAAACATGAATGAATTCATGATGAAATAGAAAAGCTTTAGATCTGATAGAAAAAAAATAAAGCCCAGCATTCCAGTCTTTAAGGCCTATTAATGTATAGCTATCTATAGGAGGCATCAGTGTGTCAAGAACTAAGAATGAGGTCGGGCTTCCCTGGTGGCGCAGTGGTTGAGAGTCTGCAGGCCGATGCAGGGGACGTGGGTTCGTGCCCCGGTCCGGGAAGATCCCACATGCCGCGGAGCGGCTGGGCCTGTGAGCCATGGCCGCTGAGCCTGCACATCCGGAGCCTGTGCTCTGCAACGGGAGAGGCCACAACAGTGAGAGGCCCGCGTACCGCCAAAAAAAAAAAACAAAGAATGGGGGCCAATGAAGGAAGGTGTTGGAGAAACTGGGCATGAAATTCTAAGGATGGGTAACTGACCTCAGACTACAAGAATGGAAAAGGAGAGGTGGATGGTGATTTATCAATAGAACAAATGCTAACAGAACTTGGTGGCTGAACCAACAGAATGAAAGGGAGGGGTGGGTGAGGAATGAATCCAGGACCTCAAGCTTGGGTGATTGTGGGCATTTTTGCACCTATTTGTAATGCCTAGGTAGAACAGCTAATCACTTATCTTTCAGTTAACTGTATCTGCAGGTTAAATCCTTTGCTTCTTTATTTCTTTATTAGTTCTTTATTGTTATTATGAAATTCACAGGAGATCAGCTTCACGTATCATGTTTGGAGTAGAGGAAGGATTTTTTTTTTAATTACTTATTATTTCTGAAAAGTACAAATTATGGAGGCC